ATTGTGTTCCTTTCATTTATTTGTATTAAAATTACAATAATTTGGATTCTAATCGAACATAAATGCCTTATTCTATGAATGTTCAACATAGACAACATTTCATAGTTACCCAAGGCTAGAGTTTCTTTTTGATGAAAGTATTACTACATTGCAAAGCTTAGAAACAATTACTACATTACAAAGCTTATAAACAATTGTGGGCTTTGATGTTGAAAATTATCTAACCTTTGTTCGATTCTGAGGATTAACTTGGCAGGGATAGGTGCGAGTATTCATAGGACTATTCAAGGGATATATTGTGTGAACCTAGGAAATGACAATGTCCATTTGGCAAGTTCAGAAACTGTCTGATGATTAAGTAGAACATGCACACACTGGTTCTTGTCTCCTATTAAACACATTGGTAGCCAGGTGTTAGCTCCTGATATGTGAAGGAAGTTGGTCAGTTACTCTGTGTTGGCTCAACCTGTAAAATAGCTATCCACTTTGTGCATCTTGATTAGCGATGTGCTCCTGACACGGACTACGCTCAAAATTGGTGTCGAACAATTGCTTCAAGGATTACAACATCAATACTTGCTTTATAGATGTTGAATAATAAAGCTTTCTATGTGCATAATCTTAATTTTTACACGTCCTTTAAAGTGTGTATACATCTTTTCCTACCTAATGCATACAAATAATACATGTATAATTATTGAAATGTTTTCATAAAATGTTCTCAAACGTACCCTGATCAAATGTTGGTCTAATTAGGTCTATCCCTTTCACGCCACTTATTTTTCAAAGTAGCTAGCGGAACATATATCCTTGTTTTTACCATGAATCAAAGCATACTGTGAATCTAGTAACATGAAATTGGTCTTCAAATCTTATATTTAGGGTGTTATTTATCACAAAAAGTTTTGTTGTTTTGACCAGCATGAATCAACCATATTTATTGGATTTTAATTTTTAAGCATGCCGAACCGTTCTAGATAAGACTGATCAATACCGTCAATATTGACTAATGACAACTAATAAAACATATTTTGGCTAACAACAACTGATTTATAAGAAACCTATGTTTAAAGTATCTAATATAGACTTGGTAGTGTTATATTAGGGAAAAGTTTAAAAAAAAACAAAGCAATGAATAAAAATCTTATGATTAGACTTTGACATATTCATTGTATTTGTAATTATGATCTAAAACTTTGAACTGTTTAAACTACTGATGTCCATAATAATAAGAGGCAAACTGAAAGTTTGAACCTTTCGTTGAAGAATACACGAAAAATTTTGTGGTTTATGAAGAAATTAAGAGACCGAAAATGTTTTGAAAAGCTAGAGAAATTTACAAAGTATATTAAGTTCCAACAATATCTTTTTAAAATATACTGTGCCATTGGAAATGCATTAAGTTTGTTAATTGCAATTATTTGCAACATTACTATGAGATTCAACTACATACCTATTATGCAAGTGGAATTAGCAATGATTTAATTCTAAACTGTTTCTTGTTTACCCCTCACTCTGACATTCAATTTATATAAATTTAGGAAAGAGCAGGAAGTAAGCATTCCACAATTATTTATTAGGAAATGAAACAATTTATGAAGAAAGCAAAAATCTGTTTTTTCCCCTTGGGAACTGAACAGTTACTTGACTGTTCACTTATGGTTCTTGATTGAATTAATATTTCTTTTCTTATATTTTAGATATTAGGTGAAGATAGTATCACAATGTTGTTAGCTTCTCTATATTTAGGCTAGGGTTTATTTCTGCAATTATTTGGTTGATTGATCTTAGTTTATCTGTTTCATATTTGACTGAGTTAATTCCTTTGGTTGTTTATTTACTTATTTGTTTGATGATGTCCTGTTTTTACTTCTGGATATTTATTATTCAAATATCTGCTACGATTAATTTCATGTAGACTATCCTTTTATTAGATTCCAATTCAAATTGTGGTATCAGATTAGTATTAGAGTTGCTTTGTATGAATAAGAAAATGCCTAAATATCTGGTAGAATCATGTGCTCTTGATCCCTTTAAGCTTGTTTTGATGTTGAATTCTTTCATTATGGTATTGCAACAGATATCACATTGTAGTTTCATGTTTCAACTAGAATTCCTTATTTGTTTGTGTTCCATTTAGACCTTTCTAATGTCTACTTGCAGAACTGCATATGATGTGAGCCTCAATGACGACAGTTGGGGTCATGATAGATTTGATGTCATCTCTGGCAGCACCTCAAAGACATGGGAGAGGCTTGATGCGTAAGTTCATACCACTAAAATCTTACCCACTTTGTATTGTGTTATTCTTTATCAACCTATTTTCATGAAATATTGCTATGTCTATTTGATTCAGAGGTGCCAGTGTCTCTCATTCATTTGTTCTGGATTCCCAAGTGAAAGGCCTCTTCCATGGCTCCCCAGCAGTAATCAAATTCCGTGTTCCAACAAAATCCGCACTACAGGTCTTCTTCTTCTTCTTCTTTTCCTCTACAAATTTGCTAACAACTTTTGCATAATTTAGCAGGTGGAAGTTAATTAATTTCATAACGGTTTCATCTAAGTTCCACTTTTTTCATAATGATTTCATCAGTTCTCTATCATTTCCAAGCGAGTTATGTTCCATGATGTGTGGTCCTGCGACCAAGATTATACTTTGTTTGAGTTGTAATTCAATAAGTTTTTTTTTCTACATGTTTTAGTTATTGGTTTTGTGACGGGATTGCTTTGATCTCCACCTTACAGGAGGCATTCTCCACCCCCATTCAACCGCTGGATATTCTTGCTGACAAACCTCCAGAAAAGAAGTTTGAATGGGTAAAATTTTAATATTTGCTGTAAAATTTTAATATAGCATTCTTGGGTGACTTCAAATCTAACTTAAAAACTTTCTATCTTCATATTCTGGGAAACCACTTTTCGTGCATCGAAATCCTTCAGGCAAAGGTACAATTTTGACATTTCCATAATTGTAAATTTCCTGCGGTAAATGTTGCTGTTAATTAAATCTGATGTTTTAAACATCTTTATTTATACAGAGGCTTTTAGCGAAGTACGGATCATTGGTTTCAGTTCTTGGATTGGTCAGCTTGTTCCTTTATGTGCTAGTGAGCCCTTCGAAATCCAGCGGTGGGAAAGGAAGCAAGAAGAAGCGTTGATTTTCTTGAAACTGGTTGTTACTTGTTTTGTGATCTTTGAAATTTTTAGTGGAGGTCTCATTATATTCAGGAACCGTGAGGAAAGTGTAATAGTGGAGCCCTTGTAGGCTGAGTTACTTGGTACCAGTTGTTTAGCTGTTGACTTGAGATGAAAGTTGAGGGTTTTGTGCCCAACTGTTCTATTTACATTGGTAGATGGTTTGAGAAATGAAGTTTTAGTCTAGTAGCAGGACTACGTGGTAGTGCTAATAATATTGAAAGGCTTTAATTGCGAACAGACCTCCTGTAGTATCAGCCAACGGGGAATATACCCCCATACCTCTATTGGCACAGGTAGGCCCCATGAGTGATCGTGGTGACTAGAGTAACACACAAAAAATCAGTAAGGGGACTGTCTGCACTTGGGCAAATGATAAGTTCTGTATTTTCACCAATAGAACTACAGGGAGGGAGTCTATCACAATCTGGTGATATTTATAGGGGGTCTATCTTCAGTTAGCCCCACTGAAATTGCTATATTCTTTGCACAATACAAATGTGAATTTTTTCAGTTTTGCTGGATTCAATTTCATTCCATTACCCATATGGATATGCATAAACTTCTTGTCATATGGGATTTTCACAACCTGTCAGTCTCAAGATAGATAAAGAAATCTTATGGATTTGTGTCGAGTGCTGCTACGGGGACCCAAAATATGGGACCAATGGGAGGGGACATGTGATGTGTCCCCTCCCTATTGCATAATGAGTTAGCCATGCCAACTCATTATGCAATAGGGAGGGGACACATCACCCGTCCCCTCTCTTGGTCCCATATTTTGGGTCCTTAAATTATTTTTCATTTGTGTCTATGTCATTAAATATGTATTAAATGGATGTCAATTATTAGATCATTGGGTTTTGATATTTGTACATGGGCCTAATAATTATTTCTTTGGTGCACATTTAACGAGATGGACCAAGGCTAATATATACTTTCTCATTTTGAATTTTATGATTTTATGTCATCTGTTGGACTCTATTTTACACTCACGTATTAATGATATCCACACTGGAAGTAGATGTTGATGGAGAAAAATGGGAATCGAGGTCTCGGTATAAGTCAATGATGTGTATAATGTTTGATGCAGATTTTGCTTCTTTTTCTTTTCTGTTTCCCCCCTTTTTTAGAGAGAGATGATTCAATCTTTACTTGTCTTGTTACTTATTAAGAAATACTTTTTTTAGTTGTACAGAGTAAAAACACAAATTGTTTAAAAATCCAAATCTTTTTGTCAATATTTAGGTATCATTTCTATGAAAACTCAAGGAAAACTACTTCTACAAGGTTTCCTATGTCTTCCTACAATTTTTACGTTTAAACCCTAAACTCTATTTGTGGTTCTGCTTTAAGTTTTACCATTGATCTTGGCAGAAGTATGCAGAGTTATGATCTCCACGGCTAATCCTATTATATAATTAGGGTAGCTTTACTAGTTCTTATGATCTAGTGCCCTCTAATTGGAACAATATTTCTTTTTATTCAGTCTCTCTTGCAATTTAAACAATCATGCATATCACAATTCTGGAGACTAGAGAGTTTTAGTAAGTCATAAAGATTAGGGTTTTTTCCCCTTCATAAATGCCTCCTTTAATATAGGGTCATTATGCGAAAACCAGCTTCAAGGGTCAATTTGTATAGAAATAAACTTCAATGGGCTATTGATTGCAATCAACCATGACTCAACTTACTATCAGAACATCCCACCGTAAGGGGCAATCCCAACCATTCATGGGTCCTCAAAATTACCAGAACACCCCCCTTCCCCTCCACTGATAGGATTGGTACTCATCAACCACATTGACCTATTTCTTTGATGAAATTTTAACTTAAAATTCACACATGTCAAGTACTAAGTTTGGTTAAGAAGGCATGTCGAGTGCCTATCGCGTATTTTTTTAAAGATAGTTTGAAAGTTTTAGTCAAAATTTCATGAGAAAATTGGCCAGGATAGTTGATTGCAATCAGAACCTCATTTAAGGTAGTTTTTGTTCAAATTGAACTTTGAAAGTGGCTTTCGTAGAATCACCCTAATGTAAAGATAGTTTACCTGAAAACACCCCAAAGATTAGGGCAGCTGCAAAAGGTAAAAGGACACCCAACGAGATGTGAGATACAACTCAAACTGAACAACAGCAAGCAATAGCTCCGGAGTTGAAAATTAATTTCCTTAGTTTTAGAGCTTAGACCCAAAAAAAAGGAAAAAAAAGAGGATAATAAACAGGAATTCGAAGCTGAAAACAAATTAGTAGCCAACCCAAAGATATGAGAGCAAATGTACAGCAGAAGACCCCATAAGCCCCAATATGATGCCAGGAAAAACATATTTTTTGCCTTCAGATGAACATAAATCAATATTAGTATACGCAGCTTTTCGAGATATCCACTGATGGCAGAGGCAACCTGAAGTTCAACGTTGGCACAAAGAACATATTCGACACAGCTAATCAGAAGAAGACGATAGCGGAATCAACACATCAAAAAGTAATGTAGTCATAAAGTTGAAACAGCGTAACGCACCACATTTTCATTTCCAAGCCGCAACAGATTAACGACAAAACCCAAGCGCAACTCGCTTTTGTCTAAACAAAGACTCCAATTGACACTTCAGGATAGTATCTAAATCCAAACAATAATCCTGTGTGTACATATCTCTCACACACCAACAGCTCTTATTTACATACACGCTTTGTAGGCAAATTCAAGATAGTAATCGACAATCAAATATATTATGCAGGCAAAGCGAAGCTCTCCTCCTTCCAGCGTGGGGGATCAACAACAAGACATGGATCGGATTTCTCAAAATCTGCAACCTGTGGTATTTGAAAGGTTGAGTTAAGGTACAGAAATCATGCCTATCTGAACGCACAGACAGGTCAATAAGGGGTTGTTTCTCTCCAAAATTTTGGGTTTTGGCACTTTGATAAATTGAGAACTGTTCAAAACCCCAAATTTGCAAATGATATTTTATTTATTTACTTATTTTCGGTTCGTTTAAAATGGAAGGTTGACTGTTGCTCTCACTTTTCTCTTTATCTGCAAAATTTGAAAGAAAAGAGAGGATTTCTTCTGGCAGCAAATTGTATCTGATTACCTCAACAAACTTCCAATCGAAACAACACAATATTTTTGTTGATAATTATGATTCTGAAAGAATCCTTGACCGGTTGACCTACTTAGGAATCCATGGAAACAAAACAGACCCTAAGCAATTTAGTAGAAACAATGTCTGACCTTTTGCTGACAACTGGGGCAGTAGTGATATTTGTGCCAGAGACAGTCCATAGAGGGGCATAGGAAGCAAACCCCAAGCATGAATGGCATCATGCAGGCGACAGCAGCTGCTAGACTTGGCTTAGATCTGCAACCGAGAACATTACAAAGATGATTGCTTCAGTATGTAAAAAAGTACTTTTTTTTAAATAATGAGAACAAGGGAGTTAACAACGAAACCATTATTTAGATTCTGTTGCGTTTACTTATTATCCTCCTCCAATCAGATATACATAGGACTTAAGTAACAAAGAAATAGACCGCACCTGCCTGCACTGATGCAAGGAGCAGCAGCAAGCTCCAAAATTTCGTAGAAATTTCAGAAGGAATTAGTCAGCTATAACATCTTAAAATAAGAATGCTTCGATACAATATTGGTTCTCAGATATAACTGACAGAGACTGGATAAATTGACCTAAATAGCCACTACATTAAGTAGTCACATACCAATTACCAAATACTTGGGAACATTTCTGTTAATGTCAGTACTATCAAGGATAGATAGGGGAGAGTCAATAAATTAGTATCAGGCTGACGAAGAGTCATTGCTATTTGAGAAAATATTGTTAATGACATTTACAAGTGAGAATAGAAAGTATTAGATGCCTCTGGGAAATAGGTCCTACCTAGATCAAGATAATCAAAGGTCCCTATATTCTCCATCAAAATTTTAACCTGTAATTTGTTACCTAGTTTATAAAGTCCCCTTGAGGATTGGTTTGACGATCCTCTTGTCATGAAGCTATGGATAATGCCATAGCAAAAGTAACAGTTCCAGGTACAAGATCTGATATAGAAGGTGTATATACAGAAGAGTCACCTACTCATGCAGCAAGGAGAGCAGTCATGTGCACTCGGGGAGCAAAAATGGGCCAAAGATGTCCACTTAACAAGGTACAATCTATTTTCTTTTATTCATCAGAAGTATCATCAAAATTATTTGGCAAAGGTCAAAAGTACAACATTAGAGGTTTATCGGGCAAAGGAAACCAAACTTAAAAGTATGCTAATACTGCATTTGACGTCCAAGAAAAAGAAAACGTAAAAAGGATCAAATGGTAGCAACACTAGGAGGTTATGCTAAAAAGAAGCCAATATCCGTCATCAGGGGGGAAAAAGAAAGAAATAAATGCAAGGAACATACTTCGGCGCTATTAAAGGAAGAAACTAAGGATTGCTTAACATCAAGAATGTTAACTGTAAAAATTTCACCATGTGATTGCTGACTTGAATACAAATCTTCTGCACAAAGCACTCGACTCATAATGAAGATACCACTTATGACTAGGTTGTTGCCGACACAGACTATTTAGAGTCATCAATATCTTCTCAATGCTCTACATGTAGCCAAATATCAAATGTAATTCATGTAGGTCATAACAACTTTCCATCCATCATGTTATCAATAGAAATCTATAACTAATATTCAGAGCCTAAAAGAAGTTCATATAGCCCCAGTCCAGAATATGATTCAGAGAAAGCATATAATGATATAAACAGAGGTTTCCTTCAATCTCTTCTTCCTGTAAATCAAGCTAAAAAGTACACGATACAAATGAAAGAGGGTTCATTTATCTTCAATTTTGCCATACAATTGAGTTTGATGTGGATTTATAGAGATTTGATTCCCTCCTCTAGAGACAGCCTTTATGGAATTTTTTTGAAGCTAAATATTTAACTAATTGTATCGGAGTGGTGACGCTGAAATTGTAGTGTTTAATGGGAACTGGTGGTAGTGCGATAGTGAAGCCAGTAATGCAATGTGGTGCCGAAACTAAGGTTAATGCAAACCAGCCCATGTGGGTGACAAAACAGCTTAAGCATGGCAATATGTTAGGATCGATCTAGTCCAATATTAAATACACGGATACTTCGATATGGGTCCCCATAGAGAATTGGGTTGTCTCCCTCCGTAAGCTTTTTAAGGATGAACTCTCCTAGGTCTAACATGTCACCATGGCAACGCTAGAGATTATGAAACCAAAATAAGCTAGAGAATAACAGAAATAGCATTTATTCTCTGTCTCTCTTTCTCCCTAACTCTAATAATCTCTCTCCATCTGGAATCTCCGTCCCTCGATCTCTCTCAGTGTCTATTTCTCTCAGTCTGAAATCTCTACAAGTTTCTCTTTCTCCCTCAGTCTCTCTTCTGTTCTCACTCTAAGAATATCCCTCAGTCTTTCTTTCTTTTTCTTCCACAGTCTTTCTTCAATAATCTCTCTTTCTGAGAATTAACCAGCTTTCTTCAACAAAAAAAAACTCTCTTTCTTTTTCAGTCTAAGAATCTCCCTAAATGTAAGAATCATCCTTGGTCTCTCTCTTTCTCCTGGTCTTTCTCTCCAAACTAAAGGATATTAAGAATAAACATCATCAATGTTTTAGTCTTGACCACATTACAAATAGAAGATCTGAAAGAAATGTGATTTAGAAGTGTAATATGAAACAACTTAAAACGGGGGTGGGGGTGACAAAGAGAGGGTCAGAAATAAAGAAATGTCTTTATTTATTGCGCTTGTGGCGGAATAAGGAACAATAGATTTTTATGAGATTTTCTCATGTATTTTGATTGAAAAAGGATGAAATATAACTCGACATATTAGTGATTTCATTTTAACTAGAAAGCCAGACTAAAGTATCTTTAAGTGATTTTGAAATCAAGTTAAGAATAGTAAAACTAGAGATAATTTTTAAAATATCGATGTTTTGTAGAATAAATATGTTTAATATAATAAGGGATATTTAAAAGAAGGGATATGAGAGAGAGAGAGAGAGTAAATATGTTTTATATGTTTAATATAACAAGGGATATTTAAAAGAAGGGATATGAGAGAGAGAGTGTGTGTGTAAAACAAGAATTGACCTTACTTAAGAAATGACAAAACAACCTTCGCCTCGGAGAAATGTTTTAAATAGACTATTTTTAATATTTAATTAGCAAAATTGAATTGAAACTTATTTAATTAGCAAAATCAACCACTCTAGGTCATGTTAGCACACGTAGCTGAAAATTGGTCGGTTTTGCAAAGTATGATTTTTGGAAATATACGAGATTAGTAGTCTTGGTTAGTAGATTTAGCTAATTACCTGTGTCAGAAAAAAAATTCGTGGTTTTGATGAAACACCAACAATTCTTTGGGTTCTAAAAACTCACACTTTGTGGAGCCCAATTTAGTAGGTAAGATATTAAGTCTCTAATTTTTATAGGTGGGTATTTTGGGCTCCACAAGGGAATTTGTGACTTAGAGGTTTGTATGAGATTATGCCGAGGCTGATTCTCAAACAAATTTATGATTAAACACAACTAATCACAAGAGACTACTAGACTTGTGTTTTGTAAAGATGAATTTTTGCAAAATCGACCAACTTTTATCCACTTGTATTGATATGACTTAGAATTGTTTGATTATGCTAATTAAATATTTTTGAGTCGATTTTGCTAATTAAATTTTAAAAAAGGTCTATTTCAAAAAATTCACCTTTAAAAAACATGTTTTGCCCTTGAGATAAAGGAGTCAAATATTTTTACCCCCAACTCATTCATGCATTTGTAAGCCCTTAAACACATCTCTAGCGCAATATGTCTATCCATACGAAATTTACCCAAAATTTATCCCTATCTATAACCTCTATCATCCATAAGTGTCAAAAGCAACAGAGACGCTTGGATTGTTCGCTTCCCTATCTAAAAAAAAAGTTTTCTTTCTTCTTCCTCAAATTCAGCTAGCCAAACATGTTAAAAATTTCCATTAAAATTGCTCTATAAACGGATGTCTACTCCATCTCTATCAAATTTCGTGGTCGATTCCACGAAAAAGACTCTTTGGCAAGCAAAGAAGTTGGAATTACTCGTGGTTTTACCTACCTTTAGGTTTTCTGACCTTTCGAGGTTTTTTTAATTACATTATCCTTTATGGAATACCATTAACGTTTTTACTACATTTTCCCTCTTTTGGATACATTTAGCTCGTTTTTCTATATTTCTTCGAATACGGATAACTTTTTGACTTTATTGTTACCTTTGATACATTTTACTTATCTCTAAGTTTTTCTTATTTACTTCCTAAAACATTAGGTTCACAAAAGTTATTTCAAGAATCTAGATGCAAAGTAAGTTCTAAGACCTCGATCCGAATCTCTCAACATGGTTTAATTCTTAGGATTTTTGTTCTTCGCAAAATATTCCAAAAACTAGGTCCTAATCAAGCTACTATTAATAACCCAAATTACTTCATCTTCACAAATTTGAAGAGGAACATACTCTTGTGCTTGAATTCAACCATATGAATCTCCCTCTCGTCTAAGTGATAAGAGTCTATTGACACAAGCATAATTGTGACTATAGGTAAATCTTCTTTCATAACGGATCTAGAGAATGTGTTCTTATGCATATCAAGAATGTGATTCTCAGGATCTTTGCTAGCATTTAGTTGATATCTTTGTACAATGACGACTAATGATTGGCGAGGATCTTCATCTGCCTATTCCAAGGAGAGGGACATGTAATCTACAGGGAGTAATTCTTGGAGGTGTCAAGATTGGGCTCTGATTATAGCGGATTAGGGTTATATTTTTAATCAAAAAAGTATTTGTAATTGTTGATTGAAGTGTAGATAGGGAAGACAATGATTGACTTAAACCCAAGGGGAGAGAGTGGAAAGGAAAAGGGTGGAATGTATTCATTTGTGTTTGGATAGACAACGAGAAGATGGGAGGGTACACTACAATATGTGTTTGTTTAGAGTAGGGGATGAAAAGGGAAGGGGAGCTACTTAACCAGTATGCCCTTTTAATAAAATAATAAACAACGCCTTTTGGTTTTCTCGTATACGAAAATATTGAAATTTAAAGAAAATTCTACTTGAAACCCCTCCCCTCCCCTCGCAATCCGTCCACTTTTGGGCGGTTGAGAAAGTGGTTAAATTTTCTAATTTTCATCCATCCCCTCCCCTCTCCTTGCTAACCAAAAAATGTAAACAAACACAATGTTAAAAGGGTTAGCATTGTCAACCTCTCTCTCCCTCCCCCTCCCCTCCTGAAAAACTCTATCTAAACTTAGTGTAAAGGTGTTCATCATTATAGAAGAAAGTTTGTGTCTATATTTATGGCACCCCTTTTACCACTTTTATATATACATGCCTCATCTACGGAATTGTGAATAACTTTAGTCACCCTCATCTACGCTTCATCAAGAATAGCAAATGCTTTTTGGATCAAATTCTTACTCTAGTTCTTATGAAAAGACCAAACCATAGATACATTCAACATTTACTCATTACGGATGTTCTTCCGAGTGGCCATCTATTTCTAAGAGGCAAAAGATGAGCCTTGTCAATCGCCGCTATACACCAACATTGATGACATCTTGTGTGACACATGTTTCAAATGAAGGAAACCCGAGATCATACGTTTTGCTAAAGACCTTGAGAATCACATTTGCGAGAAACATATGGGAAGAAGATTTCCTCTGGTCATAAATAAGTCATTCTAAATCTCAAGCGAGAGGGAGACTAACAAGGTTAAATCGAGCACCAGTTTATGGGACAAATTTTCAAAACCAACCTATTTGGATTTTTATTCCCAAAAAACGACCCCATTCAGTTTTATTTGCAAAAACCGACCTGGTTTCAGCCTCAGCGCTGAAACCAGGTCGGTTTTTGAAAAAAACTCTCCGAAACTTCACGGGAGTTGAACTCCCGTGAAGTTTTTTGAACTATGAAACTTCACGGGAGTTCAACTCCCGTGAAGTTTCGGAGAGTTTTTTTCAAAAACCGACCTGGTTTCAGCGCTGAGGCTGAAACCAGGTCGGTTTTTGCAATTATTTTTGAATGGGGTCGTTTTTGGGGAATAAAAGTCCAAATAGGTTGGTTTTGAAAATTTGTCCCCAGTTTATGTCTCCCTTCACTTTCTGGATTTTATATGACTTAGGGTATTAATTACAGTTTGATTTCGTCCAAGTTTTGATCTATGGTTTTGGCATATTTTACAATAAGCAGGCCTCCCAAGAGAGATTATAACTGTAGTTTCACTGGTCTCTCTATAGTTTTGCATCTAAATTCTTGAAATAACTTTCATGAACTCAATGTTCTTTGGAAAAAAAAAAGAAAGTTAACACGAAAAAAAGGTGACTAGAACTTTACCAAGTTAACAATAAAATCATATGGGTATCCAGACTTGAAAAAAAAAAGTAGCAACAACATGCTTAATTTATCCAAGAAGAAAAAAGAAGTAGCAATAAATGAATAATGATATTGAAGAAAGGATAAATTTTATAAAAAGTCAGAAAAGTAAAAACTAACAGGTAGGTAAAAACACATACATGTATATAAAACACATAAAGTTAACAAATCAGACTCGCAAATAGTCATTCTTATTTGGAAAAAAAAAATTGTTAGAAGTCATTTAAAACTTAAAAGTGACCAGAAGAGGTAGTAGTTAACTATCTAGAGTAACATAATCGAAGGTCCCTAGATTGCCCATCATTCTAGCATCATGTCGTTACTTGTCTTGTTAATGAGCTATCCTTATGGATGGTGTTTTAGAGTATGGAATCCCTCTTGTTATGATGTTATGGAGAGGACCCAAGCAAAAGCAACAGTTTCAGGTGCAAGATCTAATATAGGACAGGGTGCATATTCCAAAGCATCCTTGTTTGAAGCACAATGCCCCGCTCATGCAGCAAGAAGAGTTCTAGGGTGGTCATGAGGGAAGAAAATGGGTGTGAGATGCTACTACTTAAAGAAGCTACAAATCGTATTCTTACTCAGAGAAGTTTCAATTAAATCAGTTGGCAAAGGACCAACGATACAACTTCAGAGATGTGCGAGGTAAAGGAAGCTAGCCTAAAGTACGCAAACATTGCACTTTCCACAGCAGAGAAATAACTTCAAACAAGGAGCAAAATTGTAGGAGTACATCCTAGGAAGAAGTAGATGTTGGTCATCGTACGTGAAAAAAAGCATTTCTCCGCCTCACAAAAGAAAGGAGGGACTGACAAACATCAAGAATCTTCTACGAGATCCCGATTTAACCACGAATCATCGGTCAAGAAATATAATATCTTGTTTGGGAGTTCAGTGAGGGGAACAGAGGGAAACTTAGTTTCTTCGGGCTTGTTTGGGTTTGGAGCGAAGGGAAGTTGAGGGAACATAGGAGAAGTTAAGTTAAGGGAAGGTAACATGTAAAACTTATTCGGGAAATTAATAAGAGGGAATCAAGGGGAACTTATTTCACCTCGCTCGTTTGGGAAACCTCACTCATTTGGTTGGGAAGTGTAATAAAGTGGAGAGAAGGAAAGTGAATACATATGAAATGAAATGACATAAACAACCTCATGTGTTATTAAGTTATGTTGTTGTTAGATCTTAATAGGGGTAAATTGGTCCCTCTATGATTGCTTTGCTCCCCCTCCCTTACCTTCACCCTGGTTACACCCCTTCTCTCCCACTACCTAGTCCAAACTTGATTCCCAAACAAAGTTAAAAGCCT